GATAACAACCAATTTAAAAATAAACAAACCAAAAAAAACCCCAACCAGAACTGCCAGAAAATCAAACTTCATGGAATTCCAAAAACCAAGGAGTTAAACTTTCATCTAGACCTGTAGGACAGATGGAGATGGACAGCCATAGTGAAGAGGATGCATGGCAAAGTGGCAGACTGCACAGGCAAGGCAGGGGCTGACTGATCAGGAAACTAAAGACTCAAAACCTCTGGCTATAAAATCCAATGTGGGTTTTGAAGGCAGGAGAAACTTCCAGTCTCATAGGAGAGTTCACTAGAGAGGCCCACAGGATCCTAGCATGTACACAAACCAACCAACCTGGGAATCAGCACTGGAAAGGGCACAGTCCACCTGTGGGAAGTGAAGGAAGTGACAGAAAACAGGGACAGAGCAGAGTGAGCAGCATTGTTCCCTCTCTGACTCCTCCCTAACACACAGTGCTGCATCCCAGCAAAGAGAGTTGCCCTGCCCTGGTGAATACTAAGGCTCCACCCCTTACAATGTAACAGGTGTACCCAGACAAAGAAATATGACCCAAAGGAAAGAACAGATCAAAACTCTAGAAAAAGAACTAAGCAATGAGAAGATAGATAACCTGTCAGATGCAGAGTTCAAAATACAGGTAATCAGGATGTTCAGAGAAATGATTGATTTTGGTTGCAAAATGAAGGAACAAATGAAGGCTATACAAAGTGAAATAAAGGGAAATATACAGGGAACCAACAGTGAAGGGGAGGAAACCAGGACTCAAATCAATGATTTGGAACCAAAGGAAGAAATAAATATCCAACTGGAACAGAATGAAGAAACAAGAATTCAAAAAAATGAGGAGAGACTTGGGAACCTCTGGGACAACTTCAAATGCTCCAAAATCTGAATCATAGGGGTGCTAGAAGGAAAAGAAGAATACCAAGTAATTGATAACTTATTCAACAAATAATGAAGTAGAACTTTTTCCATCTGGCAAAGGAAATAGACTTCCAGGAAGCCCAGAGAATCCCAAAGAAATTGGATCCAAGGAGGACATAGCAAGGCACATCATAATTATATTATCCATGATTAAAGATAAGAAAAGAATCTTAAAAGCAGCAAGAAAAAAGGAGAGAGTTACCTCCAAAGGAATTCCCATAATACTATCAGCTGATTTCTCAAAAGAAATCTTTCAGGCAAGAAGGGGCTGGAAAGAAGTATTCCAAGTCATGAAAGGCAAGAACCTTCATCCAAGATTACTCTATCCAGCAAAACTATCATTTAGAAAGGAAGGGCAGATAAAGTGCTTCCCAGATAAGGTCAAGTTAAAGGAGTTCATCAACACTATGCCCTTATTATATGAAATGTTAAAGGGACTTACCTAAGAAAAAGAAGATGATAAAAAAAATATGAACAGTAAAATAACAAAACACTCACAACTATCAATAGCTGAACCTAAAAAACAAAAACAAAAATAAACTAAGCAAACAGCTAGAACAGAAACAGAATCACAGAAATGAAGATCACATGGAGGGTTATCTGGGGGGAGGTGGAGTGGGGAGAATGGGGGAAAAGTACAGGGAATAAGAAGCATAATATGTAGGCCCACAATAGACAGGGGGAGGTTAAGAATACTATAGGAAATGGAGAAGCCAAAGAACTTATATGTTTGCCTCATGGACATGAACTAAGTTGGGGGAAAGATGGTGGGAGGGGGTATACAAGGTGGAGGGGATTGAGGGAGAGAAAAAAATGGGACAACTCTAATAGCATAATAAATTAAATGTATTTTTTAAAGAATAAGTATTTTTGGTAGGTACAAAACAGACAGGGGGTGTTAAGAACAGTATAGGAAATGGAAAAGACAAAGAACTTACATGAACTAAGGGGTCAGAGGGATTGCTGGAGGGAATGGTGGAACCAGGTGGAGGAGGCAATAGGGGAAAAATTGGGACAACTGTAATAGCATGATCAGTAAAATATATTATGAAAATAAAATTTCAAAAAAAAAATAAAGAGTTTAGTAGGAAGTGTAGATTTCCAAGCCCCATTATCTTCATTTTGGGGTTAGAGCACTGAGCAATATCGAGAGAAGAATCCTTGATTTCCTTGAGCTTTGGTTCTAGCAGACAGTAGTGTTGAATGATTATGAAGCTCATTCTCTTTGCCAACCACTTATGCAGTGCATGTACACAAGTTAACTCATTTAAATCTTCTATCAGCCCTTTGAGGAGGTTTTAATATCATACCTACATTATAGATGGGAAAACTGAGGTACAGAGAGGTTTTGTAGCTTGCTGAAGGTCACACAGCCAGTCTTGCTCCTCACCATGATGCATATTCACCATAATGCATATTGCCTCTAGGTATTGTTTTTCAGGCATCGTATTCTTTTTTAAAAAATATTTTATTTATTTACTTTTAGAGAGAGGGGATGGGAAGGAGAAGGGGATAAACATCAATGTGTGGTTGTCTCTCCCATACCCCCCCACTGGGGATGTGGCCCAGAACCCAGGCATGTGCCCTGACTGGGAATTGAACCAGTGACCCTTTGGTTTGCAGGCCCAAGCTCAATCCACTGAGCTATACCAGCCAGGGCTCCAGCATTTTATTCTGTAGGACACTTTCCCAAACCCTGACATTGGGCTACATGTCCCTCCTTTGTTCTTACTTCTCTAAACATAAACTTATCACAACCTCACACTAATACACCATTTATCTGTCTGAATTACCTTCTAGAATGGTGCTGTCCAAAAGTAATGTAATGTGATCCATAATAATAAATTAAACTTTTCTAGTAGCCACATCAAAAACGTAAAAAAGAAACATTAAATTAACAAAATACCATTTTAACATGTGATCAGTACAGATGATTGAAATATATTACTCTATTTTACCATCTCCTAAATTTGACATATATTGAATATTTTATACTTATAGCATGTTTCAGTTCAAACTGACCATGCTTTAAGTGTTTGATATCTACATGTGGCTAGTGGGTACCATATTGAACAGTGCAGTTCTAGATTGCATTTCCTGGAACAATTAGTGCATCTTATTAACCTTTGCTCATTCCCAGGACCTGGCATGTTGTAGGACTCAGTATATGTGTGCTAAACCAAGCTGGCTTAAACTTCAGAACAATGCTCTGCCTCTTTCTCCTCACCTGCCCTGGAGCACGGAACCCTAAACATGAAACTTTTGATAAAGTAAGTTTCTGAAACTTTACTCTAATAGGAACACAACTCTCAGTACAGCAAGCTATCAGAATCACCTCATTTTAGAACTTTTTGTAATATTCATTATTTTTGGAAATGAAGACCTACAGGAGAAAAGTTTGAGTTCACATGGGTAGTATATGTCAGAATTAAAAACTATACCTCTCTCTTTTTCTTGCTAGTTCAATAGTTTATCCAATCCTCTAGTACATCCGAAACTTTTCCACTATAAAATGACTTGGGATGTTCAAGGCAAATATGTTCTCATTCTCCATTCCCACCCTTCAAGAGACAAGGGCATAAGCCCATATAACTAGAGAAAATGTGGGTTCATATTGATTTCTGTTCCATGATCTACCTACTTATGTCTGATATCAATGAATAACATTTAAAATTATTTACAATTGAATAAAACACATTCTAGGAAGATATGCCATGGTGACCCTGTGTTTTCTTAAGGTATGGGAATAAATGTGGCACAAATGTAGAGTCTGGGACTAATAACAATGAGTATGTTTGTGAGTGGGGTAGGGGGCAGCGAAGGTGATAGGGTTACAATCCCCACCTTAGCCTCTCAGAGGGAGGAAGTATTAGAAATGTTATGAATATTTATCATGTCATGGACATGATGTTGTCATAGAAATTATCAAAAATACCTGAAATTGTGTAAATTATAAAACAGAAATCATGGGTCTCATGTTGTGATAGTGTAAAAATAAATTTTCATTAAGATGAAGACTTGTTTATATGAAAATAAGAGAGTCTCCTTTGGTGACATTGACTAGCCATCTATGAGTAAAAATAACTGCATATAGTAATATCCAGCTGGGCCTGTTTCTCTGTAAACATGCTAGGTCACATGTTTTACAGTAAGATAATGATCTAAATATATGAGTGTTTTTTTCCTTATATTCTTATTGCCATAGCAATAGTGTTAAGTTTAAAGATGTTTTACCTATAAAAATGAAATGATTTAAAAAAATTATTTTATTGTTGTTCAATTACAGTTGTGTGCATTTTCCCTCCACCACTCCCTCTCACCCCAGCCAAACTGACTTTCTTCCCTCGCTTCCACCCTCTCCCTTGGTTTTGTCCATGCATCCTTTATAGTAATTCCTGAAAACCCTTTCCCCCCACTGTTCCCTCCCTCCTTTCCTCTGGTTACTGTCAGATTGTTCTAAATTTTAGTGTCTCTAGTTATATTTGCTTTTTTCTTTTGTTGATTATGTTCCAGTTAAAGGTGAGATCATATGGTATTTGTCCCTCACCACCTGGCTTATTTCACTTAGCATAATGCTTCAGTTTCATCCATGCTGTCACAAAAGGAAGGAGCTCCTTCTTTCTCTCTGCTGCATAGTATTCCTAAAAATGGAATTCTGAGGACAAATATTTACACTTTGGGAGTTGGCCACATTGTTTTCCCTTAATCAACAGGGGCAGTTGGGGGTTGATTGTATCCGGAGTTACACTGAACATTCACAAATTAGTTGTTAATTGTCTTGCTCTGGACTCAGTGAGAATGCCAGCGATGGAGAGATAGCTGGTGCCCATAGGAATCACACTGATTTAGGAATTGGGATCCATCATAACTTGGCCTTTAATGGGCTAAGTTTTGGTGGGCTAATTCTTATCACTGGATCTCAGTTCCCAAATCTTTAAAAAGAACAGCATGAATGTTTGATGATTTATCCACAGTTCCCTTATATCTTTGGCATGCCCTAATGTCCTGTTATTTTTAACTCTTGGCATACTGTCATAGTAGAAAAGAAACATACATTTTAGTCGCCCACACCTTACCTTTTATTGAAGCCAGTTGTTTGGATATTGAAATGCTGCCAACAAAATGAAAGAAACATAATGATTCTGGGAGTTTGGGTATTGATATTAGTATCTAAAGTAGAGCAGTACAACAGCTAAAAGATTAATTATGTTCAATAAATATTCACTGAGCATTCTGGTGGAACAACCATTTATCTGTCTTTTAAAATTCTTTCTTCCCTTGACACAGTTAGGTAAAGTGCTTGACAATGGCTGGCCCACATACCCTTGTCTTTTGGTATTTATGTGAACAGTGACTAAATCCATCCCAATGGAGAAGAGGTAGAAGAGAAGTAATCACTTTTCAGATGAGCTCTTACACAGGTTTTTCCATTCCCCACTGATTAAGATAGAAATTATCAGAGATAATTTAGAAGCCACTTGTTGAAGCCATGAGCCCCATCAGCCTGTGTCCAGATATGTTTGTATAGAGTAAAAACTTGAGCCTAATGAATCAGAAGGTGAAAAAGGAGAAAGAGTGCTATGAGCAGAGGAAACAGAGTGAGCTGAGACTCAGACATGGGAGACACTGTGGTATTAGTGAAGAGCCAAAGGAAATAAAGTGTGGCTGGAACCTGGAGAAGGAAAGAGATACTGGTAGAAGGTGAGGCTGCAGTCATAAGCCAGAGCCAAAACATGGTTGAGCCTTACGAAGACCTCAGGTTGTTACCCTAGGGGCACTGGAAAGGAAGGGAATAACATGATGAGATTTCCAATTTGGGAAGTTATTTCACCTGATATATGAGGACATTAGAAAGAGGCCAGATGGGAAATGGGAAGATGACTCTTACTCCTTTAAAAAGACCATATCAATGTGTGCTTGATATATCAGCCCCTGATGGCTTGAGTGGTTTTGAGAAAGCCAATAAGAACAATAGAACTTGGTCATATCTTTAACATATATCTTTGGTTGTATTATATCCTTAAAGGGAACATTTAGGTTCAAGATCTGGTTTTGGCATCAACTTGTTAAGAGATCATTTTTCTTATCAAACTAGGAAGCTGGACTCTATAATATACTGGACCTTTTATGGTCTTCTTAGGGAACTCCTCTTGATTTTCTAGAAATTCTGGAAAATTACTGTCTCCTTCATAGGATAAAGGATGTGCCATCTTTTCACTTTACGCAATGTGCACTTGCCACATGACTTGTATGCCATGGCCTCCTCAATTAGTTTCTGAGGCTCTTGAAAGCAAACCTATGAAGATTGTCCCATGTCTCCCACCCTGGGCTAAGTGTTCAAAAATTTTTTCTGAATTCAAGTAGGCCCCCTAAAGGGAATTACACGACAAAATATATATTTCATTTATTAGTCATAATTTTGCATATTTGAATAATATAAACAACTTCCTCTGCCATGTATAATTTAAAAGAATATGTTGTATAGTTAATATCACCAACAATTTTGATTTACAAATATTTTTCAAGAGCAAGCAGAGATATTTGAATTAATTGTATCTCCTTTACAGTTTTCAATTAAAGGTGAAAATTTATTCCCTTTATTTTTCAAATTCAATTTAAAGATAGACTGGATTACTGACTGAAGTGGTGCAGTTGGTTGAGCATCATCCTGCAAAGCAAAAGGTCACTAGTTCCATTCTCCATTGGAGCATATACCTGGGTTGTGCATTTGGTCCCTGGGTGGGCAGATATGAGAGGCAACCGATTGTTTTTCCTCTCCATGTCTTTCTTCCTGTCTTCCCCTCTCTCTTAAAAAAAAAAGAGTCTTTTTAAAAATCTGTATTGGGGTGGGTAACAGGCACTGAACCTGCAATATCTTGGATATGAAGTTGTTGAGATGAACTTTTTGGAAATACACCTGAAAGCTCAAATGAAACTCAACAAAGGAGATCCAAATGCTACTGACTTTTGGGCATTTTCTTAGATGCTAAGGTGGACATTGGGACTGTAGAAGGATTGAGATCCCCTTCCAAGTGCAGAGCTTGCTCCTGGGTACTTTGCATACAGTCTCACATACTTTGCTGTCTTGTTGTGTGTTGGCCGTTCCTAAACAACAGTCACTTGCCTACTGTTACTATTGTCATTTACTTCATAACAAGCATACAATGGCACTTTTACAGGAGATTAACCCACTGTTGTTATACATACACATTAAACCATTCTTGCATTGAACAAATATTTGAGTGCCTACTGTGGAGCAGGCACATTACAATATATTGGGGATGGGGACATAACAGTGAGGCAAAATCAGATATAGACTTCGATCTCAGCTTATAATCAGAAAGAATGATTGAAATTAATTAATTAATTAATCACACCATGACACTCATGAATCATTATAAGGGCAAGCAAGGAGGGTTTCATTGAGATTGCTGTCAGTCATGAGAGTCAGGGATACATCCCTGGTGAAGTGATGTTTGATGATGAGCAGAAATTAAGTATGTGAAAGGAAAAGGGATCCATGTTGCAGGCAGATGGAATAGGCTGTGCTAAACTCAGTGGCAGGAAGGAGTCTGATGAACAGGGGAAACTGAAAGGCCAGTGTGGCTGGACTAGAGAATAGAGAGGGACTGAGGCTCCAGCTGAGGATGAAGAGGAGGCATGGAGACTAGACAATGCAGGAACTTGTGGGCCACCACAGGGAATTTTCATTCTATGTCAAAAGAATAGGAAATAATTTGTGAGTATTAAGCAAGAAGCTTAATAATGTTAGATGGACATTTTGGAAAAATCACTCCAGCTTCAATGTGCTTAATGGTTTAGAGAGGTGGCCAGAATAAATGCAGCAAGACTGGTAGGGAGGCTCTTTCACTTGTGTTAGCATAGAGCTTTGTGTGAAAACTGAGAATGTGCCAACTCAATTATATTTGTCTGGGTCAGAGAAGACATGACCAATCATTATTTAGATCACTGTTGGGTTGATGGATGGGAAGAGGTAGCTCTCAAGAGAAGTTAAGAATAATCATTGCTCAGGCTTCAAGTTGGCTCCAGGGACATGCCATCTTATTACTGTATCACTGGTCACTGTTCCACCATATAGCCATGTCACTCTCTCATTGCTTGCTTCTTTGGGTTTTCTTTTTTCTCATCCTTCTACCTCCTGATCAATTTCCTTAGCATTTTTCTTTTTTTTAAGATTTTATTTATTTTTTAGAGAGGGAAGGGAGGGAAGGGGGGGAGAGAGAGAGAGAGAGAGAGAGAGAGAGAGAGAGAGAGAGAGAGAGAGAGAAACATCAATGTGCAGTTGCTGGGGGTTATGGCCTGCAACCCAGGAATGTACCCTGGCTGGGAATCGAACCTGGGACACTTTGGTTCCCAGCCTGCTCTCAATCCACTGAGCTACGCCAGCCAGGGCTAGCATTTTTCATTTAAACTTGGGAGGGAGAGTTTCATTTGCCTCACTGATTTATGGTTGCCCATACTGATCAGGGCTTTAATGCCAGCATACCCCATACATTGTCAGTTTGCCTATGTAATTATCCACCTTGGATCAGGTGATGACCTTGAGCCAACCAAACTGCTCAAGTTAAAATCTAGAGCTGGTTACCTCAGGAGAGGGCTCTAGGTATTTTTCCCTGAATCTGGATTTGTAGAAAACACTCTAGGACTCTGACATGGACAGGGAAACTGTGGGCGGTGTAAAGGAATCTCTGAATTAAAAAACTCAGATCTGAGTTTGCGTTTTGACTCAGCCATTTATTAGTTGTATTACCTATAGGAAGAGCTTTGAAACTGCCAAATCTACTTTTTCATCTGTAAAATAATACTTTCCTCATAAGTTATGAGGCTAGGTGTTAATGTTTGTGAAACAGTCAGCACAGCATCTGATACATGAGGAGCAATCAGTACACAATAATTGTAGAGAAGATAATTTTAGAAATGACTATAATCAATGTCTTAGCAGGGCACAGAATCTAACTTTGATGGCACAAGAGATATCTATGAAAGGTTTACTCAGTGGGCAAGGTGAGAAAACTGAACATGGGTGTTGAAGCATCTGGAGGCTAGCAACAGTGGGGGATTTACCACCCTTTGTCCTGGAGAGGCAAGGAGAGGAAATTGTACAATGGAGCTAAGTGAGAGCTGGATTCTTGGAGCAGAGGCCACTTGTTAAAAGCCTGGGTTGAAGGGAGACAGACATGGCTAGAAATCAGGCAAATTAAGAAGGGAGTAGGGGAGAAATACCCCATGTTCCAATCTCCAGCCTGTGCCTCCCATTGACTGAACCAATCAGGATGCAAGTAGGATGTCTGGGTGATGGAATATGTAGGAATCAGCCTCCTGGGACATACAGAAGGGCAGAAAGTGGAATGAGGGGTGAACAAATGAGCAAGAAACAGCATGATTATAATGATGATAGAAGAAAAATACTGAGAATCAGGCTTATTGATAATCATTTTTTGACACGATTAAATCAAAGTGGCATTCTAAACAAGACAGTAGCATTCACAGACAGTTTGTGATAAAATATAACTTTTTCCTGTCAAGAATCTCACAATATCATGAAACATTTAAGCTATTTATACACAGTGTCAAGTCATCTGGGAAAAAAACTATTTAAGAATAATAATCCATATTTTAGACATGGCAGCCAAGTAAGTGGAAGCTGAGTTTGCTTGCACTTGCACCCAACTTGGACACTTGGCTGATCTTTTGAAAAATAAATTGAACATTCAATGGAATCTTAGCTGATATGAACTTTAGAAGGCAAGGAGTACAGAAGGTGCTTCACAATGGGTGGTAAGGATATTTTATAGGTGGAAGGAGAAATACCCCATGTGTGGCACCTGCAGCCACAGAGAGCCTGGCCAGAGATTGCAGCTTTGCAGCTCCCTCCCCTTCAGGGCAGGCAACCCCCGTACCCAGGCTGGGAGTGACTTGGATACCCGAATTCAGGGAGATCCAGGCTACACACATATGAGCAACACACCCATAGCTGCAGCAGCACACACCAACCAGGAGAGTGCCAGAAAAAAGGGATTCTATTTATACCTGGGTGGGCAGGAGAGGCTGGCCACTGTGTGAGACTCTTGACTTTTTGGAGACGTGGTGTGTGCAGAAAGCCAGATTTAGTGCTGAAGTGGGAGTACTCAGAGGGACAATTAAAAAGGTGGCGGGGGGGCTGAGATGTGTTGGGCAGGGGCTCCACAATCCACTGCTCTGCCAGCAAGGGGAAAAGATTGAGGGCACAGTTTGCTCCCACTGAGTGCAACTGGGCAGAGAGATCATAAAAGTGAAAAATGAGTGGATTTCTCAGCCCTAGCCTGATGCAGCTGGTGGGGCAGAGGTTATGTAGAATTTGGGACTCCGTCTGATGTGAGGGCAGAGGGCTGGGAACTGGAGGGGCAGGAGGTGAGCAACTGAGATTACTTTCAGCCATATAGAGACCCATTCCCTGACAATCTTCGAACTTCTAGGAAGGAAAGGTTGCACCCAGCCCTCATCTCCTGTAGGATGGAAAGCACCACTAATGGGGAAGAGCTGCAAAACAGGCAGATCAGGCTCAAGAACTCTATGCAGAGTATGTTTCCAGAGAAAAAGACAGAAAGAGGAATGCCTAAAAGGCCCATTTGAAGTTCTTTCAGGGAGACAACATAAACTGGTTCCTAGGGCCCTATTTTACTGAGACCAGCAAAGCAGGGTGATCAGAAATGAGGCAGCAAGGAGGAATCAGGACTTCACCCAGCCTCCACTGCACATAGAGCTGCCATCAGCACCAAGTAGGCAAGAAGGGGATGGAAAGAAGTATTTAAAGTCATGAAAGGCAAGGACCTACATCCAAGATTACTCTATCCAGCAAAGCTATCATTTAGAATGGAAGGGCAGATAAAGTGCTTCCCAGATAAAGTCAAGTTCAAGGAGTACATCATCACCCAGCCCTTATTATATGAAATGTTAAAGGGACTTATCTAAGAAACAGAAGAAGATAAAAAACTATGAACAGTAAAGTGACAACAAACTCACAACTATCAACAACTGAACCTAAAAAGATGAAAACAAAAACTAAGTAACAACTAGAACAGGAAAAGAATCAGAGAAATGGACATCACATGGAGGGTTTTCAGTGGGGAGGGAAGGGGGAAAATGAAGGTTAAAGGTACAGGGAATAAGAAGCATAATTGGTATGCATAAAACAGATAGGGAGAGGATAAGAATGGTACAGGAAATAGAGAAGTCAAAGAACTTACATGTACAACCCACAGACATGAACTAAGCTGTGCGGAAGAAGGCTGGAGGGTTAGGGGGTGCAGGGCAGAGGGGGGAAAAAGGGAAAATTGGGAAAACTGTAACAGCATAATTAATAAAATATACTTAAAAAAAACCCCAAAACACCAAGGAGGAAAGGCTTAGACCAATTGGCCTTGCCCTTGAAACCAACAGCTAGTTCATCAGAAACTATACAGTATTGGAAATATGCTGGGACAGACCGAGATGGGTGATGCAGAGGCAGGGGAACATACCCACAACTTTCCCAGAAGACCGAACAGTGCCTCTCAGGGGAGACTCAAGGATCCCATCTTCCCAATAGCACTAGAAGCTCCCTCTAGAGGCAGGTGAAGGTGATACAGGTGGTGCTGCCAGAAATTGGAGGACCCACCCAGGAACCTTGAGCTGATGGGAAAAAATAAAAAATAAAAACAGAGGTGGATACAAGACGAGAAGTCAGAATGTAAACACGAAATTGCTGAGACAAATTTTGTCTTGCTCGTCTTCAGAATTTTCAATTTTTTCTTCTGTTCACATAGCTTTTTAATATTTTTTGGCTTCAATTGTATTCCAATTAATGCACTATTCTTTGTATTTTAGTTTTTATTCTTTTATTTATATTTAATTATTTTTATTACATTGTTATTTCAAATCTCACATTGTACCCTTCCCTTGTATTACTCCATTTTGCCTTCATTCTGCCCTTTCTTATTTTCATTGTAAATATTATTTTCCCACATGCTATGCCATTTTCCTATTCCTTACTCTTACTATTTTTCCTCCACCTATCCTCTCAAAAGCATTCCTC